GTTTTGCCTTTGAGAGAGTACAGTCTTACCACTTTTCTCTTTCTCCTTTTAGTGGGAAATATTTGAGTTTTCCTTCTCTGATAGGTTTTCAGCTTACACAGTTTCCGGCTTTTGCAGGTTTTACTGTAGTATGTTAAAACCAAACCAAACCCACTGCCATCAAGTGAATTCTGATAATAGCAACCCTATAAGACAGAATAGAACTGCTCTATAGGGTTCCAAGACTGTAAATCTTTACAAAATGTGAGTGATCAACACAGTGGCATTGAGGAGGAAGTCATAGATAGGTGCATGGAAGGTATAGACAATAAAGATGAACCCTTTTGCACATACAGTACTGCATTGTCAGTGAAGGCAAACATTGTTATATGGGTGGATAGATGAAAGGACAGGCTGAACTTTTAGGTATGTTCTGTGCAGGGGGGAGTGTGCCCATGACCATGTATAGGGTTGGAAGACAATGTTTCTGTAAGTGTATTGGTATGTTCTGTAAGAATTCCCAGGTATATAGCAGAGCTGACAAAGGACAAGGTGTAGTCACTTCTTGGCCACATCCAGCTACCCAGAGGGAGCAAGTAGTTAGACCTGTGCACTCAAGACCATAGTCCCAGGGGACATCAAACTCAATTGGCATAACATACTACACAAAAACATTGTTCCACATCCTACTTTGGTGAGTAACGACTGGGATCTTAAAAGCTTGCAAGCGACCATCTAGATGTAATGATGGGCCTCTCCTTATCCAGAACAAAGAAGAATGAAGAAAACTAAAGATACATTAGTCCAATTAATCCAAGGAATGGGTACACCATGCATTCTCCTATACGACTATGAGACCAGAAGAACTAGATGGTGCCCAGCTATCACTGTCAACCACTCAGAGGGGGATCTATGTAGGAGATCCTGGATAGAGTGGGAGAACAATGTGGAACAAAACTCAAAATCATTTAAAAATAAATAAGTAAAGGAACCAGGTTTGCTGGTCTGATAGAGCCTGATAGAACCACTGAGACTATGGCCAGTGGCCAAATAAAAGACAGGCATATGAGCTGAACATTTGCATTAGGAAGATACACTCCTTGGAGAGAACAATCATGGGAAAATAGAAGGGCCATGTATGCACAGGGAGACAGCTCAGGGGGCAAGAGTGCATGAAGGGATGGACACAGAGAAGAGGTAACTACGGGGAGGAAGTGGGAAGGGAGCTGTTGCATTGTAGGAAATTGCAGTCAATGTCATGAGACAAAGTGTATGTGAGCTGCTGTATGGAAAGTGAATTTGCTCTGTAAACTTTCATCCAAATCACAATTTTAAAAAAAGAGAGAGCTCAGGCTAGAGATAGTTTCCAGATGGCATTTAAGGCCAAGAGTCTGGTATACTGATGATGGTGGAGTGACTGTGCAGAGAAAAGAGGGCAGGACTGAAACCCAAGTCCTGGGAAATCTAGTTAAAGGGCCCAACATGAAACTTGAACCACTGCCCACTGCTAATGGAAAGCCCTGGAGGATGCCTCAGCCCTTTCCTTAGTGGCCCCAGAAGTTTCTGCTTCAGGAGCAAGTCCATGAAGAGGTGTTCTAAGAGTGAGGTGTCGCATTGATTTAGCTCTGCCCTTTCAGGGTACTGGAAGTTTAAGAGTGTACCAGTTTAAGAGTGGTGGTCCACAATGAGATACTACCTCACCCACATTAAAATGGCAATGATAAAAAAAGAAAAGAAAACAGCAGGTATTGGCAAGGTTGTAGAGAAACTGGAACCCTCATCCATTGCTAGTGGGACTGTCAAATCGTATAGCCACTGTGGAAAACAGTTTGGTGATTCCTCAAAAAGTTGAACATAGAACTACCCTATGACCCAGCAAGCTCAATCTTAGATATATACCGAAAAGTGAAGACAGGAACACAAACAGAAACCTGTACACCAATGTTCACTGCAGTACTTTCACAATAGTCAACAGGTGGGAACAAGCAAAATGTCCATCAACAGATGAGGGGGTAAATTAAATGTGGTACATACACAGAATAGAATATTATTCAACCATAAAGAGAAATGAAGTTCTGATGCATGCCACAACATGGATGAACCTTGAAAACATTTGCTGAGAGAAATAAGCCATGACTCTCTTTCACCTTCTTCTGTTAATGGTGCTGGAATATTTTGGAAAAGGACTGTAGTAATGGGGCATGAAAAATGTTATCAGTCACTGAATTTCAAATGTAGAAGCTGTTGTATTGACACATGTTTTGGTGTGTAGGTAATCCCCAACTTACGAAGTATTTGAGTTACAATGAACCACACTTACAATGGTGTGTTTTTAGGAGTTGATTTTGGTACATCTTATAGGTAGTAATATGTACTACACACAACATTGCAGGGTGTAATGTGCTGATATTATCATTCTCAGATGTAATGGTTTCCAACCCCCAAAGACAAATAAAGATCAGATTTATATAGACACTGATAATAAAAGCAAATAATAATGAAAACTTAAAAAACAAAACAAAACAGTATTCAACTTATGTCAGAACCAACTTACAATGTAGCTGCTGGAATGGAACCATGTCATGAGTCAGGGACTACTTGTACATTTTCACAATAAAGAAAAAAAAGAGTGGTGCCAACTGGCAGCTTCCCTCCATTACTGGGCCCTGAGATAATATTGGGGGGCAGGTGAGCATCATTTTTCCCATTCACCTTCTTTCTGTCTTTCAAGGAGCCAGCACAGCAACACTTCTTCTCTAAGCATGACAATCGTACTTCCTTCGACAAAGTGAGTACCAGAGACAAGAAGGGGAGTGGGCAGGCCCTCCAGGCTAGGGTGAAGTGAAGGGCAGAGCAGAGGGTAGGGTGGAAAGGGGGCTCCTTATACAGGCAAAGGAGTGGCCGACTTCCTAGCAACCTCTCTCTTCTGGGAAATAGCCCATTCCTCAAATGGAGTCATCTCCACTTTGGTTTCCCCTGCCAGCTTACCTGACAATGTACAAATATCATGAGGCCACTGACTTTTGAGGGTCTCACCCTAGAATGGAAGGCATGGTTGGGGAGGCAGACCAAAGAGGTTGGGGTACAGGGCAGGGAGGCCAAGTGCAAGTTGGGTGTCACTAGGTAGGGTTGGGTTCAGGTAGGGCCCAAAGAGATGCCTGGCATCAGGACTGTGGGCCAAGGGCCCATACCGTTGAGAAGGGCCCCTACTGCCTGCTGCAGGGCATCGGGAGACGAAAAGACCTGGAGCGCCTGTGGCAGCGACACACCTTCCTGCGCTGGGCACCCTGTGAGCTGGAGTTGCGACAGCAGCGGCCCCTTGAATCTTCCTACCAGTCCGATTTTCGGTCAGGCCCAGGACTTGGTGCCCTCCCGCAGCGCCTAGTACACTTTGTGCACGTTCAGCCTGCCCGTGCCAGCACCACCTACCAGCAGAACTTCGGCCAGACATATCGGGGCAGCCTCTATAGCAGCGACCAAGTGGGGTCTGAGGCTCCAGTCACCAACTCACTGCCTGACCTTCTGGGGCCCCCAAGACCCAAGCTGCTGCAGCACTATCTGCATGCTGGAGTCTCTGAGTGTCTAAACTGGTCCAGAGCATTAAACAAGAATGGCTGATACAGTGACCTGTCTGTGCTTATAGGCCAAGAAGTCTGAGAGGCCCTGTGCCTGGCTTCCATGTGGCCTGTGATGCTGGGCAGGGGAGGGTGTTGCCTTGGGAGTCCTGCCACTGAGCAAGAGGGAGAAGCCTGCAGGAGACTCAGGGACCAAGAGGGTTACTATGGCCACAGCAGGTGGGTGCCAGGGCCCCAAGTACTCCCGAGTTTCTGCAGTAACCTCAGCTGTGAGCCCCTTGACCTCAGAACAGCTGTAGGGAAAGCAGTGCCAGAGGCCCCTGCCGGAGAGCAGCCAAGGCTGGAGAAAGAGGCCAGGGCTGGGAGCCTCCCCCAGGAGGCAGCTGCCCTTAAGGAGTCTGGTGGGTAGTCACACAGTCCTGCCCAAGATATGGTTTCCTCACAACTGGGACAAGCAGACTATACCCTGCCTGTTCCTGGATAGGGCAGCTACCAAATCCCTGACCACTCCCACAGCCCCCATTGGGACCACTCATCCCTATGGAAGCTATCAGAGGCCTTAATGAGATGCTAGGTTACCTGGACCTGACACTGGCTTGTGGTGGTTTGTTTCTTTCTGAGCTCTTCTCTGGCTGTCCTGTGAGTGGCCCCTCATTCCATACCAAAGCTGGGACTTCACAGTGCTAAGGCATTGAGTTACTTTGGTGGTAGAGACCACCAAATCCTCATCCCTGGGAGAGTTGAGGCCCCTGAAGGAGGGCCACAGACTGTGGGGGCAACATGGGAGTCCATACCAGGGGCCACACACCAGATTTGAGCAGCACTTTTACTTCTACATCTGAACTCCCTGGGTCCTCACAACAGCCCTGTGAGGTAGGTAGGGCAGGAAGGTTTCTGAGATCCCCATTTACAGATGAGGATGCCGAGGCACAGAGAGGTGAAATGACTTGCCTAAGGTCACACGGCCAACAGTGGAGAGGGTCCAAAGGCAGCATTCCTCTGGCCCTCTGACAGTTCCCGTACCCTCTCTTTCTTTCCCTGTCTCCCACCCTCTCTGAACTCTTCTAGGTCTACAGGGGCCCTCAGGACAGGCTGACAGCTGGAATTTTACAGGAACAGCCATTGAGGTGAGCCTGGTCAACTCCAAGTAGGCAAGGACCCTGCAGGGCATGTGGCCAGCTGGACAGAGGGTACTGTAGCTTCTAGGGCAAGGGTGGAGCTAGGCGTTGTTAGTGAGTAAATGGTGGCAAAGGTGGCTGTGAGCACATATGTATAGTGAGCTAAAGAGACAGGCCCCCCCCTGAGTGCCTGAGCCAACGCCTCAAGTGCCCACCCTTGTGCCTCCCCCATCCCACAGAGCCACAGTGAGTTTCCTCAACAGCAAAAGGAGCCACAGACATCTGTCTCTGACACTAAGCTGCCTTGGTGGATAGATCCCATAGGCCTTCAGACCCCCTCATGTAGGCACAGCGCCTCCACAGCTTGGCTGGGGCCCTGGGCCACACCCCCAATAACAAATAGTCGAGGTCCAGTCTGCAGGCTGGAACAGGAGCAGCGGGCGGTAGGCATAGTGGGCAGTGCCTCCCAGCGCCGCCGTGCAAGGCTGAAGCCCTCCACAGAGCCCAAGGGGCACGGCTGGTTTCCTGCAGGAAGGAGATGGCAAGCTGTAAGGTATATAGGCTGCAGAAGCTCAAGGCTCTTTGCTCCCCCAGCCCAGAGGATGTTCCTAGTAGGCATCACCCCATCTCAATGCGTTGCTTCTCATTGTCCCCATTTGTCATTTATTTCTCCATTCATGTTTCTATTTGTCCACATGGCTGTGCGTTCAGTGAACAAGTCTGCTCCTGCCTCCTAGGCCCCTGCTGGTGCAGACCCTCCCATCAAGCTCTAAGGACACTTGAGTCTGAGCCTGGCCAACTATACCCTACCCACTTCCTGGATAGGGCAGCTAGCAAAGCCCTGACCTCTGGAGTGTCTGGGGAAGGGTGGGAGATGGTGCTCGAGCTGAGGACTATCACTTCCTGTATCAGGGGCTCCCTTCTACCCCTATTCCCACAGAGACTCACCAAGGCCCCCAATTGCCACGATGTGGCCACCGAGGGAACCAACCACAAAATCAGCCCTCTTATCTCTCATGCGCAGGCTGCGAGGCAGCTTGGTCCAGGACCCTGCAGGAAAGGGGAGATCAGATCTAGCCCCCATACACTGTACCCCTCCATCCCACAGAGGGTGGGAGTCCAGCCCAGGCCAGCCGCCTCTCACCATGCTCCAGGTCGAACATCTCCACAGTGTTGACAAAGTGTGGACGTGAGTAGAAATTGTGGGGACCCGGCTGCTGCAGGCCACCCAGACTAAAGACACTGCCTTCGGCCATGGCACAGCCAGCAAAGGCCCGGCGACTGGGCAGGCTGGGGTGCCGGGTCCAGGTTCGGGCCTCCAGATCAAAGGCCTCAAAAGCAGTCACTGGAAGTTTACCTTGACGGCCCCCTGCCAAAGAAATTGGGGTACCTGGGAGAGAGTTTAGGGTCAGGGACCTGGAGTGGTCCTCATTTGCCAGGTTGCTGAGCCTTCCATTATCCTCCTTACCTCCTTATGCACCTGTGTGCATCCCTAAGCATGGATCATCCACCCCACAAATCCTCATGCATTCGGGTTTGGTTTTCCAACCCCAGCAGGACTACCAGAGGTCAGGGCCTCAGAGCAGGCCTGGCTCACCCCAATAAAGCTTCTGCCATCCCAGACCAAACCTGATCCCTACCCCAGCCAATTCATGAGGATGGGTGAGCCCCTTTCCCATAGCCCTAGGCCCTTACCCAGGACATAGATCTTGTTCCCATGCAGGAAGGTGGAGGCCCCGTAGCAGGGTGTGGGCATGGAAGGTAGTGAAAGCCAGCAGTCCCGGCGGGGTTCATATACTCGTACCTGGGCCTGGGGGGCCGTGTCAGGGCCCATTCCCCCCAGAGCATACACCATACCATCTGTGTAGAAAAGAGGAGTTTAAACTGTACCACAGGCCTGGCCAGGGCACCCCCACTCTGACAGCCTCCCTGGCCAGGCCAGGGACCTATTTGTTCATAACACCCCCTCCCCCCCACCAGCAGCAGACACCGTGCTGCTCTCCTGGAGTGGGGGCTAGGAGAACTGGGATTCCCGCTCTAGCCATGGCCCCTCCAAGTGAAGAGCAGGAGGCAGACGATCTAATTATAATCTGGCTCTGTCTCCCTGGAGACACTATGGCAACCAAGTCTGGCATCCAAGCAGGGCTGGCCTGGACCCATGGTCAGACCTGGAGGCCACAAGGTGGGGGCTCCCCTGGGAAGAGGAGGTAGTTTAAGTCACAGATGGGAACATACTGAGGTCTGAAAAAGAAGCTCTGGAGATGAATGTGGGGCTTGGGCTTAGATCTGGGGAGATAACCTGCAGAGTGTGGGAGGTACTGGCCACCAGCCTTTTGCCCCAGGACCCCTGACAACACCTCACTAGAATAGTTCTTACCCTCTGTTTAGGCCCTCAGGGTCAGCTGGGGACACAGCCAGGGGCTTCCATTGCAAGTCCAAGCTAGTCCCTGTGCTAGCTTGGACTTTGTCCACCTCAGGATCCTGGGTGTGTGTGGAGGTGGGGGAGTCTGAGCCCTTGCCAAGCCCTATTCTGGACTATTTATAACCCCCTTGTCTCCTAGGGATGAGGAATGAGGCAGGGAAGCATCTGGGGCCTCCCATCATCCTAGGGGCCAGTCTGAACTCCGCCCTCCACCTCAGAGGCAGAAAAGGAAGTTAAGGGAAGGCTGCTGCAGGCCCAACTCAGAACTGAGTTGGAGAGAGTACAAGAAGCAAGGCCATGTTCAGGGCACCCAGGCAAAAAAAAAGAAAAAAAAATTTATCTAATTTTTGAGGGTAAGGAACCAAGTTAAGAGAGAATGAAAAGTGCTGAGGTACACAGATCTTACTTGGGAGTTTGGTTAAGTGTATCCCAGGCCCCAAGCCCAGGGCCACTCACCTCTCTCCACAGTCGAAACCCCCATGGCCGCCTGAGGGAGGGTGGCTCGTCGCTCCCAGCGGCCCTCGTCAGCCAGGTAGGCTTCCACAGCAGCTACTGGGCTCTGGCCCTCATCCACGCCGCCCACCACTAGCACCTGCTTGCCGAGTACCACAGCAGCAGCACCAGCCCGGGCAGTGGGCAGAGGTGCTAGTGCCAGCCATGTGTGCGAGGCCATGTCCAGTGCCTCCATAGTGTCCAGGGGCAGTCCAGCCCGGCCACAGCCCCCCAACACCAGCAGGTGCCCACCCTGATGTACCACAGTGCCATAAACCCGGCAAGTGGGCATGGGGGGAAACACCTGCCAAGCAAAGGCCCGGCCACCACCTGCAGCCATGGTGTTCACCACCAATGGCAGCCCATGCTATCTGATCCAGGCTGTAAGCCTCACTAGGCGGCATGATGGGGCCTCATCTTGACTCTGCTAGGGCTTCAAGAGGGCGTCTAGCCAATCCAGAGACCTTGCCTTCACCTGGAGGAAAGGGAAAACACAGGGTCAGGGCCACTGACTAGTTTCCCATGGAACACTTGAGCAGCCTGTACGTGGGAGCAGGGCTGGTCCAAAATCACTGGTGTGAAAAACAGGATAAGGACCCACCTCCTCAGACTAGCACACCACCATGGAAGTCCTCTTGGAGTGGAAAGCAGGGCAGGCCTCCAGATACCCAAGCAGGCTCTCCCTTCCTATGGAGCATAAAGGAATCTCCTCTCTTCCTCCTGCCCTCAATAAGGAGCTCCTTGGTCAAGTCTGGGTCTAGGTGGAAGATAAGGTAACTGGGACAGGAGTCTCTACCCTATGTTACCTCCCTTTTCCCTGAACAACCAACCCTCACCCAGGCCCTGGAAGAGGGAAGTGATACTGCACTCTCTCTCCCTCTCATTGGCTTTCAGTGTTTCTTGGGGCAATCTGGGATCCCCACATGCTGCCAGGAGCCAGACACCAGTGTATCCTTACAACACCCTTGAGAACCATTCCACAGGGTTCACACATTCCTGTCATCAAAAGACCAGAATCTGGGGTGTTTGAGACTAGGGAACAGGTTCCAGGGTCCTACACAATCCCCTTGTGGTCCGCCTTTAGGGGTTTGCCCATTTCCCTCTCCCAGAGGCCAGACTCCCTGGTGCCCAGAAGCACAAGACTCTAAGGACCTAATAGAAATGGGCAGCTAGGCTTCTGGGTTCCTTACGCAGGTCCTCAAGTTCCCCATCCTCTTCTTTCCGGAGGGGGCCACATTTCTGGGACCCCCAGCTAGAGGGCCTCCTGGCCCCAAACTTCGCATCCCGCTCGAGGGGGGGGGCGGATCCCGGCGAGAGCGCTTGGGGCTCAGTGCCCCGCGCCCCAAACTTCCCCAAACGCAACTCCCGAGGGACTCACCGGTTGGGGCTGCTCAGGCGCTCGTGAGGCTTGGGGTCCTCCGTTCCGGCTCCACTGACGCCGGCGCGGGCTCCGGCTGGGGCTGAGGCCGGACTCCAGCTCTGCTTAGGCGCGGGGCGGGGCTGGATCGGGCCCGCCCCTCCTCCAGTCTCGGGGAAACCTGCCTCCCCCCACGCCTTAACCCTGCGCCTGCCACGGCTGGAGCAGAACGCGCGGACCCACGGTCACACGCAAAAGGATGGACAGGCAGACGGACATGTGGACACTGGGCCTACCCAGAATTTAGAGTCCGCTCTCGGGCAAGGTGAGAAATGAGGCAGCGAGGAGCGTCGCAACACGTGTATGTTGGGGGCCTGGTCTGACCCAACGTGGGAACGCCGGCCACGGGCGTTGTCAGCCAACAGAACCTGGAAGCTTAGCCCTCCGCACTCGCCCAGCACGGCCGAGTTCCACCGAGCCTTATGGCTGGCTTCGCGACAGCGCCCCCTAGAGGCTGCTCTGTCCGTGGCCTCGGCCTCTGGTTGGGGCCGCCAGATGGGACGCCCTTCACCTGTCACAGAGCCAGAAAAGAGAAGATCATATTGTGTACACTGAGGTCAGCGGCGGGGGAAGAACCGACAGTGTCGGCTTCTGCGTTTGACAGGCTCTTTCACAGGCCTGGGCGGGAGAAGGGAAGAATAAGAGAGTGGACAGAAGGAGGGGAGTGTGTGTGTGTGTGGGGGGGGGTGCCCTGAGCAGGGGATGAACTTGAAAAGTCAGAAGCCAGGGGACGTCCCAGCCAGGTCACCCTGGCTTCATCCTCTGGAACTCTAAGGTACTTTGTGATTATCCATCTTCAGAGTCCTTAGCCTGCCTCTAGCCAACTCAGGGGTCAGGCAAGAGCAAGTTGGTGTGGCAGGGGCCTACCTCAGACCAGGACCCTGGCCCGGCTATCCTCTAAGGATTCAAAGTATTTCTGCCCAGTCTGCAACCTGGGGCGCATTTGTAGAGGCCAGTGGTCACTTTTGAGAAGTCCTTACAGTTGTCTGTGCCTGTTCATTGCTTTGTCCTTGTATGGACATTGTCTCTGTGTTGGTTTCCCAGAAGCAGACCTGGAGAAAAAGATACCAGTGCATGTAGTTAATGTGGACAGTGAGGCCAGGAAGTACCCTCAGAAGAGTGGCAAAGAGAGAAAACAGCCAATTAACCTTCTGTCATCAAGCAAATTACCACTGTGGGCAACTGGGGCCAAATCCTACCTCAGGCTCTGCGAGCCAGTGTAGAATATGAGCCTTGTGTTGTTGCTCTCCCCTCCAAGAGTAAGAGCCTCCACCCGTTTATCAGTTTGCCATACTGTAGTGGCTTATATATTGCTATGAAGAGCTATGGGAGCTAGGCCACCAATATTTCAAATACAAGCAGGGTCACCCATGGTGGACAGGTTTCAGTAGAGCTTCCAAACTAAAACAGACTAGGAAAAAAGGCCTGGTCATCTGAAAATTAGCCAATGAAGACTTATGGATCACACTAAAACATTATCCAACTTGATTGCTTTGGATGCATCATCAGGAAAAACCAGTCACTCTGTTTGATAAAGTAGAGGGCCAATGAGGATAAGGGAGGCCATTAATGAGTTAGTGGCTGCAGCAGTGGATTGGAATATGTCAACATTATGAAGATAATGCAGGACCGAGCAATGTTTTGTTCTGTTCTACATAAAACCACCATGAGTTAGAGTCGACTCACAGCAACTAATAACAGCAGGGAAGTTGAGGTATTTATTCTCACATCCCTTCAGTTATAGGTTTGGAGCTGTTTGGGGGCCTTAATTCCCTTGCTTGCCTGACTTCTAGTCTGCCTAGGGTGTGAGCAGACTACCACCAGGACCACACAGAGCACCTCTGGGTAGATCTCTGGGGCTGGAAGTTGGAGTTGAGGGCCTGTGCAGAAATGGTGGTGCTGAGACCAGTTACAGGCTGCATATACTGGCTCAAAGGTTTCTTTCCCCTGCCTCCCATCCCCCACCACACCAACCCCTGACTTGATCCTCGTTTGGGGTGCTGGTGCCTCCTTCCATGAGGTGCTCACATCACCCAGCAGACCCCTCACATTTCCCACTGTGGCCTTTCCGAGCTTTCTCCCATTTAGACAGGTCTGGGGCACCCACCACAGTCCCTCTAGTCACCCCCACTCCCGGTTGAACTCTCACCCTCTCAGCCTTGTTGTCTGCTACCTCATTGCCAAAACTGCTTTTGCCAAAGTCACCATAGAATACCTTGGAGCTAAAACGAGGAATCTCTATGGTCCTTGTCTCTACTGAACTCTTGCTGGCATCTTGAAAAGGTTCATCCCTTGTGACCTCTGCTTTTTCCTGCCACTTGTCCTGCGTCTCTTTGGGGACTTTTGCAGCCCTCCTTCCTCTTCCTTCTCCAGGGAGTAGATCCTCACAACTCTATCTCAGCTTCTTTCCTTGTACAATGACCCCCTCCTAGGGCACTGCAGCTCAAGCTGATGACTTCTCCACTCACAACTTCAATAGATCTCTGTTCAGGTGAGTGTAGGCCCAGGGTCCATCACTCAGGACCATATAAGCTATGCTTGGGCAGTTGAGCTTCATCCTGGGAGCAAAAGGGAAGATTCCAGTACCAGCCCCAGAAGTCCCTATGGCCCAGAGCAGGGAGTGGATTAGAGGGAGTTCCATCTAACTTTAGTCCCTCCCTTATCACTTTATTCATCTTTATGCATCACTCATGAAGACTGTGTTGAACTGCTTCGATGACTGAGAGACCCCCAGACCGGGGGAAATACCAAAACCCCTCCCTCCACATTAGATTGCCCTGCTACAGAGTTTCTTATTAGCACCCTTCCCCCTTCTCCATCTGGGAAGCATATTTTCTTTCTACTAGTTCTGTATTTTTCCCTTCTGTTATGCTGTATATTCTGATTTTTGTTGGTGCACATGGAAGCTATTGGCTTTTTTCTTTGTCTTGGATTCAGACATTACTCATATTGGTGTGAATAATTTTTCTAATTATGATTTTTTTTTAGATACATTACCTACAAATAGTCATATTTCTCTCTCTTTTTTTCCCCCTCCAATTGTTATCCTTCATTTATTTTCTTTATTACGCTGACTCGCCCTTTCAGGACAGGGTTAAGACATCCTAGTGCCGAAGTGGCATTCTTATTTTGTTCCTGACACAAAGTGTTTCTATTCATTCATGCAATCCTTAATTTTTAATTTAGTAAATACTTTTTGAGGGCCTATTGTGTGTCAGGCACTCTGCTGGGCATCAGGGAACAGCACTGAATGAGGCTGACACAGTGCCCACTACTACGAAGATGACACTAGAGAAGGCAGGAAACAAACAAACAATATAACCAAATACAATCACAAGTTTCTTCCTATTCTTGTTTTTATTATAAAATATATGAAAAAAGAAAAAAAAAAAAAAACACACTCACTGCCATCGAGTCAGATCCAACTCATAGCGGTCCCTCCTTGGGTTTCCAAGGTGGTATCACTACGGAAGTAGATTGCCCAGTCTTCCTTCTGAGGAGTGGCTGGTGGGTTTGTACCTCCAGGCTTCTGGTTAGCAGTCAAATGCCTAATATTTACTATTAAACCATCTTTAAGTGTACAATTCTGTAACATCAATTCCATTCACCATTTTGTACAACCATCACTACTATCCATTTCCAAATGTTCTCCACCACCCTAAACAGAAACTCAGTGCTGTAAGCAATAACACCCCATTTCTTCCTTCTCCCACCACAAATCAACTTTTGTCTCTGTATCTGCCTGTTCTAGATAATTCATATAAGCAGGATTATACGATATTGTCCTTTTCTGTCTGGCTTATTTCCCTCAGGATAATGTTTTCAAGGCTAATCCGTGTCATGGAATATATCAGAACTTCATTTCCGTTTGTGGCTGAATAATATTCCATCACATGCATATGCCACATTTTGTTTATCCATCC